CCATCGCTTCCCCTGTCTGATGAACTGACTTGTGGTGCCCGTTTTCTTTCTTGAATAACTGTATTATTTGCTAGTTTCTTTTGAGACCATCTAGAATCTCAAAAATGGTTGAAAACCACAACCAGTGTAAGCACAACGTTTGCAGCTGTTTTACAATTCAAGGATATCGACAATTCAAGGATATCGGCAATCCAATCCTGGGGATTTGTGGAATTTCAGTCAGTAATGTTGCTCCACTGCTATTAGCAACATAAATTTCTTCAATCCTATCAGCTATAAGTTACTCGCTATTTCTGCTACATCATTTATAGAAGACAGACAAAACTTTTGTTCAACATCTCTACCAAATCCCCATGATAATTTCTTCTGTCTCTGTTTTTAAGGCACCAACTTTTACTTTAAGTGCTCTTTTTCAGATATTTGTAAACATTCTTATAATCTATTTTTATATTTCTGGCCAGTTTGTTTGCAAAATCTGTTCTATTTTTATCAAATTCTTCGTGGCTCTTTGCTGGTTTCCAATACACACTCAATAGTCAGCTTATAATGCAAAGAATCCTGATCGCTCTGTGTTTCAATATAAAACTAGCCTTTAATGCCCTCAAAAGCTACAGGTGAATTATCTTTCCAATTCTTTGATTCTGAATGGCAAGTAGTTTGTTGAACATGTTGAATTGTTTCTTTATCTTTCACCGTTTATTTATAGCTGTACTTTTTAGCCTCGTTACCAGATGAATCTTCAAAAGCTCTCCCCTCGTACCAAATTAGATCTTAAGGTTCTTGTTTGTGCACGGAATCTCCTGAGATAATGAATGACCACCTCCTGTTCTATGCTTCTCTGTAAATTCCAAACAATACATAATCAACTCCAGTACAGAAATAAAACCTCACTAAAACATTCAATATGAGCTTATATAAATCCTTACACGTACTGAATAATTAAAAGACATTCAAATTGGTTAAATTTAACATATTCTTTTCCAGGCTTGTTTAAAGCAGATGATAATTTTCGGTTTTCTCACATCAAATTTCAGAACTGTACTTCTACTGATTCTGGTATTCTGCTATTAGTATGAGGTGATGGTTTCATAGTCACTATTCAAACCACATTCAGGTGACTTTGTTTTGGACACTTTGTAACCATCCACATACTATTTGACTTGAAAGAAAATCCTAAATTGATTACTTTAATTCTTAACAACATTGTAAATTGTTCAACATGCTTTGGGGAAGCAGTGCATAATGTTAGTGTCACTGCGCGAGTAACCTAGTGCTAATTCTCTGGGGACATGGGTACAAATCCCATCATCACAGATGAATTTAATTTCAATTAATAATAAATCTGGCATTAAAAGCTAGTTTCACCACTCCAGAGCATGAAACCATTGATGACGGTTGTGAAAATCTTTCTGGCAGGGAAGGAAATCTGCTATCCTTAACTGCTCTGCATAACCATGACTCCAAACCCAAATGGCTACCTCTTCAATGCCTCAGAGGCCTAGCAGGCCACTCAGTTGTAAAAAGTCAAAATGGAATGAAACTGACTGGGCCAGACAGCATGAACCTTGGCACCAAAAATGGCAGTGACAGACACAGCCACTGCAATGTCCTATTCTGACATCTAGGGCTTGTGCCAAAGGGGAAGGAGCTGTCCCACACAGTAGTCAAGGAACAGCTGGATATAGTTGTTCTCACGGAAGGATAACACAGACAAAGTCCCACACACCACCATCACAATCCCTGGATATTTCTTGTCTTGCCATCCGGCTGAGGCAACAGATTTGGCAATACAGCGGCACACAGTTGGGAGAGTTTCCCTAGGAGTTCTCAGCTGTGATTTGGGATCCTACGAAGTCTCACAACTTCACAATAGTTAGAAGCAGCATAGAATGGCAAGGTTAATAGGTCGTACCTTTTTTTTTAATTCATTCACAGGAAGTGGGCAATTGCTGGCGAGGCTATCATTCATTGCCAACCTCTAATTGCCCAAAGGGCAGTTGAAAGTCAACCACATAGTTGTATGTCTAGACCAGACTAGGCAAGGATGGCAATTTCCTTACCAAAGGGACATCAGTGAGCCAGGTGTTTTTTTTCCTGACAATAAACAATGGTTTCATGGTCATCATTACATTTTTAATTCCAGATTTTTATCGGATTCAAATTCCACGCCATGGCAGGATTTGAACTGGGTCCCAGAACATTACCTGGGTCTCCAGATTAATAGTCTAATGATACAACTACGAAGGCATTGCATCCCCATTGTGTGTGAGGAACTTCTATGTTTATCACCAAGGGTGGCTTGGTAAAGCCACGAGTGACCAGTTTGGCTGAGCTCTAAAGGAGATTCCTGTATACTAGGTCAGCAGTGGTAGGTAATGAGGAAACCAACAACAGGAGAAAAAAAATCTACTCGACCTTATCCTCACAAATGTATCTGTTGAGAATGCAGCTGTCCTTGATAATACTGGTAGAAGTGACAACCACACAGAACTTGTTGAAAACAAATCCCCATGTTCACACTGAGGAAATCATTTGTCGTGTTGTGTATCATTACCATAGTACCAAATGGAACTGATTTTGAGTGGATCTAAGGTCTCAAAACTGGGAGAGTCATGAGACACTGAGACCATCGGCATAAATGCCCCAGTACAGCTACAACACTGGCATCTAAACAGCAAGGTGGAAATTGTCCAGGTGTGTACTCTCCAAAACAAAAAACTACAAATCCCGCCACAGTCTCCCCTTAATCGCCTAAGTAATGGAAAAGGTTTTTGGCAGTGCAATCAAGTGGCAATATTAAGCAATAGTCTACTCATTTACATCCAGTTTGGGTTCCATTCAGCTTCCAGGTTTCATTACAGTATTGGTCCAAACATGGACAGAAGAGCTAATTCCAGCAATGGGGTTCGAGGATTGACATCAATGCAGTATTTGACTGTGACATCAAGATTCCCCAGTAAAACTGAAGTTAAATGGAATCGGAGAAAGCTCCACTGGTTGGAATCATAGCTAGTACAAAGAAAGATAGTTGTGGTTGCTGAAGGCTAGTCATCTCAGTTCCAAAGCTGTGCCACAAGTGTTCCTCTCGGTTGTTCTAGGCCCAACAACATTCTGCTACTTCATCAATGACCTTACTCTATAATGAAAGTTAGAAGCAGGAATGTGATGAGTGCACAATATTTGGCACTATTTGTGACTCCTCAGATAGTGAAGCAGCCCATGTCCTTAAGCAGCAAGACCTGGAAAGGACACAAGCTTAGGTTAATAATGGCAAGTACCATCTGTGCCATGTTGGTGCCAGACAACAACCATCTTCAACAAGAGAGAATCTAATCCCTTTGAGGCATTCCTCTCCTTTCAACATCCTGGGGGTCATTATTGATCAGATACTGAACCAGACAAAAGTAGTTTGATAAATGAGGTGGTCAGAGGCTGGAAATTCTGTGGCACTAACTTGTACAGAGACCTCAAAACCTGGCCAACATCTGCAAAGGCACAAGTCAGCTGATGGAATACTTGCCACTTGCCTGAATGATTGCAGCTCCAACAACACAGCGCCATGCCATCCAGAACAGAGTAGCCTACTCAAGTGGTACCACAACGACAACATTAAACATTCAGTACCTCCAATACCATTACAGTGATATTGTGACTGCTGCCACAATCTACAAGATACATAATAGTAGTCCAAGGTACTTTGAATGGTGAGCTTTGAAAAGTATTCAAAAAGACAAGTTTTTAATGACATTTTCTCGTTAAAGTGCTTGTAAGGCAATGGGTGCAGGGCTGGAATCAATGGAGCCCTACCCAGCAGACACGCAACACAAACAACAGAGGGTCAGTCTCTGCCACTACTGCTACCAAGACAAGGAGAAAACTGCCAAAAATGAAATATCAGGGTGATGTACGAACAAACAAGATTACTTCCCCACACCACACTACTGTGTGGACAGAAGCAAATCCTGCATAGGTCAGATAAATTCTCTTGGGGCATTGAGACTTTCCCTCAAGCTTGACATCAACAAGTGGACTTTAAACGAGTGCTCCCTACCTTGATCCACCAATTTGCCAGTACTGGAGATGTTTGTGTGTAGGTACCCTATAAACATAAAGAGTGACTACAGCAACTGAAGAATATCCACGATAGGAAAGAAAAGCCTGACCTACATCACTGGTTTCAGTCTCTGCTGGGCTCATAGTGGCTGTTCACCATGGTCCTGCTGACAAGTTACCAAGCAGAACTTAAACCCACAGAAGCTCCATTTAATTCAACCATGACTGTAATGCTGTAAGATGGACGGTCACAGCAAGGAGGCGTTAGACCTAGAGTGAGAGAGAGATGAAGGTCATGCTCATTGTGCACACCAGCAATGAGAGAGGGCACACAACAGTAGAGGGACTCAGAGGGCTCTACTGGCAGGGCTGCTGGTCAAATGAGACAAAGTCTTATAAAACGGACCACAGGCCAGGGGCAATGCAGGGCAGCAAGTGAGCAGGAGGAGAAGTGAGGCAAAAAGCTCAAAGAGACCAAGAAGCGCAAAGTACAAAAGAGTATGCATTGTTACTTTTCATCCCTAACTCACAAATCAGGAATTGGTAATTTGCACACTTCCTGCATTCCTTCTATGTGGTAGCCATTTCTCAGGCTCCCTCTCCAGTAGTGAGCCCTGATTCGCTGTAACCCATCATCATCATGTAAATATAGAAAGTGGGTTAATAGGAGACATACAAATGAGCCAGGGAAACTGATGTCATGTTCAACACTGTATTTGAGCAACAAACGATAACTAACGGATAGGGAAATATACATCAAGGTGTGTCCTTCCTTGTAAATGCGCCAAACATCATTCACCCAATGAACACGGACAAAGCACTACGCAGCGTTTCCTGCACTTGAACTTGAGATGGCGGGCACCCATTCCACAGACTGAATCAGACTACTGATACAGCAAAGCTGGTATGTGCCAGCCTCACAAAGCATCATTAGCAGTGTACTACAACCGGTTGCATGGCCAACTCTCCAATGGGTGACTTGTTGTTAAGCGTCCATTTGACACTGGGACAGAAGTGGGGAGGGAATCATCCAGCTCGATCAGCAGCGTTGTTAAAGAGTTAGCCAGTCAAGGGTCCTCCCATGTCGGACTTGACTTGCCACATCTATTAGATGAACACTCACTCACACACAGGCTGGTGAACCACATTTCAGTCAACCCCTGACGGCCTTCACCACAGGATGGCTCAGCACTACCTTTACAATAAATGACAGCCTCACCTGCTTATCCAGATCCTGAAAAAGAGATACATGAGAGAACAGAATGCTTCAAAAACACACCTGAACGTTTCAAACAAGATTTTCCTCAATTAATATTATTAGTAAGAACTAAACAGAGCTGTTAATTGCAAAACATTACCATTTCCCTCAACAAACTGCTCCAGAAAGTCAGAAAAATCCTTTGGTGTCTTCAAGTACTGATGACAATTGTGATAGTGGTAAAATGACACTATCACATCCTTGGGATTTCTGGCAACATATATAATCTACATTGGAAAAATCAAACAAAAGCAAAAATTCATTTTAGTCTCTTCTGAGGCATAACTTAACCATTTCATTTTTCTCATCATTTTCCCACACTAGTTTCCTTCCTATTGTTTTGATTCTGTATTGTCTCCTTTATTAAACTGATTTTTCTAGCCTTTTGCAGAATGCACAAGTACCTATCTTGTCACCTTGTGTAAGGATTAAGTCAGGCTTTTGAAAGAAAATACAGAACAGGTTCCCAAGATCACAAGGCATGTAAGGACGGAAGACAATTTAAATTAATCCTGCGAAAAAGACCTATATCACCTGACGGGTTCCCATTCTTGTTTTCCAGTGATTTTCTATGTTTGAGAGAAAAGAAACACTTCCTCGCTGCTTTACATACTATGTGCTGTTTCAAACTTGTTACTCTTTATCCCAATCTCAGTTTAACGTGAAATAGCATTCAAGAATTACTATCACCATTACCCTCGATTGTGTCGATTTATCTTTAAGACACACGCTTAAAATGCTCCTGTACAAAGTGTTCTCAGTCTTTCTCCCTAATTTAGGGAACTCTGACAACAGGCAATATATTGGCTGTTAACACCATGGAAGTTCCATTGACCAGAAAACGAACTGGACTAGCCATATAAACATAGAAACTTCAAAAGCAGGTCAAATGGAATTCTGCAGCAAGCAACTCACCCCTATTTCCCCAAAAGCATCCACCAACTACAAGGCACAAGTAAGGGATGTGATGGAATACTACACACTTTCCCTGATTAGTGCAGCTCAAACAACACTTAAGAAGCTGGCCATCATCCAAGACAGACAGCCCACTGGACCGGCACTCCATCATCACCACCACAAACATTCACTCTCTTCACCATGAACAAGTAATGGCAGTACTGCCATCTACAAGAAGGCATTACAGTAACTCACCAAGGCTCTTCTGAGAACACCTCCAAAACCTACCACCTCTACCATTTAGAAGAACAAGGCATGAAAACACCACCATCTGGAATTTCCTTCCTAACAGCACCAGAAGGAGGATTGCAGTAGTTCAAGGCAGCAGTTCACCTTCACCTTCTCCAGGACAATTAGATATGGGCAATGAGTGCTGGTTTAGCCAGCGACACTCATGTCCCATCGACGAATTAAAAGAATTCACACCTTTTCACCAGTTTATTCTATGATTTTGGCCAGGGCTCCTTTAATTCCATTTCCCCACTTAATGTGATGTCAACAGTATATTTCACTCTCTTCTTTAAAAGATTGAACTCATTGTTGAAATAACAATAATGATTTCAACTCCTTCTACAGGTCACCCATTGAGTATTTTCTATTCCAACAAGACCAGACTTCTCTAACAAGCACCTTCCTGCAGAGTCACTCAGAATCCCTACAGTGTGGAAGCAGGCCATTTGGCTCATCAAGATCCTCTGAACACCAGACCACCACCCCACCCTATCCCTGTAATCCTGCATTTCCCTGTAGCCAATCCACCCAGCCTGCACATTTCTGGATACAATTTAGCATGGCCAATCTACCTAACCTGTACATCTTTGGACTGTGGGAGAAAACCAGAACACCTGGAGGAAACCCATGGAGACGCAGGCAGAATATGCAAACCCCACACAGACAGTCGCCTGAGGGTGGAATCGAACCCTGGTCACTGGCGCTGAGAGGCAGCAGTGCTAACCACTGAACCACCATGTCGCCCTACTCAGCCTGTCTTGCCTCCAAGCCTGCCTGTGTTGGGGGTTTGAAAATTAAATAATGCCTGTTGTCACTTAACACAGCCTTAACGATCACATTAATCAACAATGGAAGTAGTCAGAATAATAATGGGAGTTTAGAGATCCTTGAGACAGCACCTTCCAAACCCGTGACCACTTCCATCTAAAAGGACAAAGGCAGCAAATACATGGGAACATCACCACTTGCAAGTTCCCTCCAAGCCACTCACTGTCCTGACCTGGAAATTTATTGCTGTTCCTTCACTGCTGCTGGTCAAAATCCTGCAATTCCGTCCCTGAGGGCATTATGAGTCAACCTACAGCATGTGGATTGCAATGGTTCAAGACAGCAGCTCACCACCATCTTCTCAAGGGTAACTGGATAGGGGCAATAAATGCTGGATAGCTGGCGCCACAAACACAGAAACAGAGGAACATGTGACAGGAGTGGGTCAATCAGTCCCTGGAACCTGTTGCCCCCATTCTACATCATGGCTGAACACCCCATCAATACCACTTTCTCTCAGTGTCCTTGTATAAATTCAGATTATTACTATATAGATGTCTACGCAACGGAAAATATATCACATCGACTGAAGAAATGCTATCAATCTGCTGCCACCTCAGTATAAGAATGGTATGGTTCTTCTAAGTATCCGTACACCCAAGGACTACTGTGGATAAAGGTGGCAGTTTACTGTCACCTTCTCAAAAGTAATTAGGGATGAGCGATAAATGCTGCCTTCACCAACCTCCCGTGAAGACAAAAATATTTTGAGGTTTTATTCTGAAAATCTGAACCAGACTCTCACCAGAAAATGTTGCAACTTTTTCTTTTAAAAAAAAAAGTAATCAGTATAACCACAGGCAACAAGATATTAATTCTTACTCGATTTCAACTTTGGAATTTTTATGAAACCTACCTTTCTCTTTCTATTTTTCGCAGAACTTGGAACCATCTGGTAATTTAAGTGCGTTGTCAGCAGCTGATAGTCAACGTAACCTGGTTTGAATGGAACAAATTCTATCCACGGAGCTCTATGTTTGAGAATTTTGTCTTTTACGGAATCAATATTGCCATTGGCTAGAATCAGGCTTGTCATCTGCTGCACCCAATTAGTTCCTGAATCAGATGACGTATAAAAAAAGAAGTACGGATGAAAGCAGCTTGAAGGACAGTGTCTTAATTTTCTCTATGTTGGTGTGGGAACTTCTTCAATGCTGATGTAAGTCGTACGATTCATGTGCACTTACTTTTCAATTACAACAGGCCGAAAGCAGCCACTGCGTGGTTACAAGATTGTCAGGAGGAGTAAAGCACTGGTCATGTCAATATTTTGAATGTGCCAACAGCACACTCCTATCATTAAGTGAGTGAAATTAAACGGATGTTCAAAATACTATACGGCTCGCCTGGGCCATTTTCTTCGCTTTCAAAATCATACCAGTACTTTCTACCTAATTTTCTCAAGCATTGTTACTGAAACACAGGATCATCAATGAAGACCTGTTTTACAAGAGTGAATTTCCTACCTCACATCCTTGTGGTAGATAGGGATAGGAAAAGTCCAATCTCCTCACACTTTAGGGTTAAGATTTCTACTTACACACCTACCAGGATATCTGGGGTTAGGGCAGAAGGATAACATTCAAATGAGAGATGCAGTCAATACTGCGGCTGCTTCATGCATATCTGCGAGCACAGAAACCATGTTAAATATAGTGACAATTGGGCCCTGGGAAATTTTGAAGCAGATACACTAGTCAGTCCTGTGACTTTTCTGTTGAGTTTATCCCAGTAATCAGCAGACGAAGCAGACCAGGGCTGAGAAGGTTCTTGGATTGGAAATTTCCCATACCTGTTTGTGCACCCCTCAACACAAAGTCATATTCAGGATAAATAAGAGCTCTCCAATTAATCAGATTCTGAATGGAAGTTTGGAAATTGTGTTGTGATATGGTACCTTAAGAATGTATATTTTGGCTGATAAACAAACACTAGAGCAACACTATTATACCCCACATCATCACTTAACTTAAATGTTGATTTGTTGCAAGTTTATTATCCCCATCAAAACCCAGAATGCATCTACCAACAATAAATAGCAAACATTTGTGTCTTATATCATTTAGCAAAGCACATCTATTCAACGCATTTTTACAATATCTTGGAGGGTAACTCATGATCATGAATCTTTATAGCAAAAAGGTAAGAGTAGAGAAGACTGGAGAGTGCTTTTAGAAGATTTAATTCTGCAGTAACTTCAGACAACATTACACTCAATTATGAATATTCTGACCGGATTTCGGATAGGAAACAATGAGTGGAATATCTGGATCCATGTCAAAATCTTTCAGCCACTCAAGTAGTTCAAGTGAATGTAGCGGTGAAGAAAATGTGATTCCATTGAATTCAAAATATTCATACGGTTGCTTGCTCACTTCATTGTTGTCCATCGTGGATGCATCAACTAAAAATTAAAATAAGATTTCCTTCAGGATTTGTTTTGCATAATCTAAGATATTATACAATCAATTTTCCAGGGCGTTACCTTCTTTGTTGCAAAGAAGTAGGTGGATATCCAAATTTCTGTCCCTTTAACATAATGCAGGGTGCCTGATAGGAGTTGTTTCAACAAAGCTAATGAAATATTCCCAATTTGCTGTTTTACTGGAATATTAATCCAGACACTTAGACGACTACTAGACATTGGAATCACACATTAAAACCTTATTATGGCAGCTGGTGGCATTTAAATTGAATTAGTAACCCCACGATAAAAAGAACTAACCTCTGATGGCAAAATTAACCATGAAACTAGGAGATTGTTGTGAAAACCCATTTGGTTCACTAAGGTCTTTACAAAAGCAAAGCAGCTATCCTTGTCTGGTCTGGGATATATGTGGTTCCAAAACCACTGCAACAAGAATGACCTAATAAAAACCGAAAGAACTGTGTTGAACAAGAATGACCTAACTGACTAACTGAAACTCGCGGGTCACCTCGCTGCACCAGAGCAAACACAAAACAGTTGACTGAAGAACAAAACCCGACAGGGAGATGGTATGCCTTCAATCACCCAAAGCCAGGGGCTACTCAGCACACCCAGCTCGCAGCAGACTGCGTGGCCAGTCCGATCGCGGAATAATCCTCACTTTGGTTAGTCATTTAGAAACTTCCCTTGATGACCCAGCTTTCGAGCCTTTTCACCAACTCCGAGGCTTTGAAAACCAACAAACGGAAATATTCAAAAGACGCGGGATTCTTGAGCGACCTCCGAAGGACTGGTAGCTCCGCACCTAAAGAGGAATATACAGATTTTTGTCTGTTTTAAACAGTGATGTTACCGTGTTGTTTGACAGACGTCGTCACACCTCGACAACTCTCTCGCTCAAAATGACCGCCCACACGCTACTGCGCATGCATCGATTCGTGCGCATGCGCAGATGCAGCCCCAACACAAGATGGACGGGTAATACCCGGGACTGTTGATGCTGGAGTCAGGGATAACAAAGTGTGGAGCTGGAGGAACACAGCAGGCCAGGTCTGAAGAAGGGTCCCGACCCGAAACGTCAGCTTCCCTGGCCCTTGTTACCGTGCTGGACGTCCTGTATTCAGCAAAGGTCTCATGCCCACCTTCATGAATTTCGGGCACGACATGACATCGAACTCTTGTTCCCTCACCCTCGCCTCCGTGCCCATTTCTTTGGACAACAGTCCTCCCCCCCCCCCCCCCCCCCCACCCATTCCAACCTATCTTCCCATTAAGTGACTGCACTCGGTGCTCTCACATCCGACCCGGACTTTGTAATTAAGCCTGCTGATAAGGGTGGTGCTCTTGTTGTTCGGCATACTGACCTCGACGTTGCAGAGGCTCAGCACCAGCTCTCAGATACCTCCTTATGTCCCCCTGAACCAAGACCCCACAAGAGAACATCAAGCCATTGTGTCCACTACGATCACCAACCTCATTTCATCTAGTGATCTCCCCCACCCCCACTGTCTCCAAGTTCATAGTTTCCCAACCCCACCAGTTCGGTTCTACCTCCTTCCCAAAATCTGTTAACAGAACTGCCTGACTAGACCCATTGTTTTTGCATGCTCATGCCCCACAGACTTGATGTCTTCCTACCTCGACTCATTTTGTTCTTCCTTTGTCCAGTCCCTTCCCACTTACATGCGCAAATCCTCAGATGCTTTATGTCAGTTTCAGAATTTCCAATTTGCAGGCTCCAGCCACCTCCTCTTTACCATGGACATGCAATACCTTTACGTGTCCATCCCCCATCAGGATTGTCTGAGGGCTCTCTGTTTCTTCCTGGAAGAAAAGCCTGAACTGTTCCATCCACCACCACCTTCCTCCACCTGGCCAAACCCATCCTCACCATACCTCCTATAATCTCATCCAAATCATTTATATAAATGATAAACAACAGTGGACTCTTCTCCGATCTTTGTGGCACACCAATGGTCACAGGCCTCTGTCTCTTACCATCAAGCCAATTTTATATCCAATTGGCTATCTCTCCCTGGATCTCGTGATCTAACCTTACTAATCAGTCTACCACGTGGAACCTGGTCGAAGGCCTTGCTAAACTCCATGTATACAACATTTACCACTCTGCTCCATTGATCTTCTCATTCACCTCTTCAAAAAACTCAATCAAATTTGTGAAACACAATTTCCAAAGCACAAAGCCACACTGACTATCCCTAATCAATCCTTGCCTTTCCAAGTGCATGTCCCAGTAATTCACTTGTCTTTTTAAACCTGCCACATCTTTTCCCACAATCCCTTAGTTTAAAGCAGTATATTTTCCCATTTTACCACAACAAATAACTAAAAGTACTATTAAATAAACAGTACATTCCTTTTGTAGGCAACTTATACTTTAAACTACTGAGAATAACATTCCCCTTTATAGTTAATACACATCACTCTCCACAGACTTAGAGTCTTTCCAGAAAATAGTTCATAAATTCTCCAAACATCTAATGGGTTTTTGCAAATTGGTCATTCCAAGTGACTATTACCAGGCAAGTTTCTTCTTTTAGAGAGATTCTTAAATCTGTCACTGGCAGTAAGGCCTTTCTCCGTAATTGTTCCTTTCTGATGATGCCAGAACGAATTTCCAAAAATGGAAATAAGGAGGGAGCAAGGTAAACTGACCATGTAAAGGGCCACTAGGAATTGGCAGAAACAAGAAGATCGTGCCCTTCAGCAACGAAAAACCACAAGGTAATCATTCATGAAAAGTATCAAGCCCAGACAGACTAAGGCAGTTTAGCAATAATCTTAAAAACCAAAAGAACTGCGGATGCTGTGAATCAGGAAGAAAAATAAAGTTGCTGGAAAAGCTCAGCAGGCCTGGCAGCATCTGTGAAGGAAAAAAACAGAGTTAACGTTTCGAGTCCGGTGACCCTTCCTCAGACCTGGACTCCTCCCTCCGGCCTTTTACCTGCACTCAATCTGTTCATTGAGAACTGTCGGCGTGATATTAATTGCCTCAATTCTCTGCCCCCTCACCAAATGCAACCTATCTCCCTCTGAACTGACTGCTCTCCGTGCACTCAGTTCTAACCCTGACTTTGTTATTAAGCCTGCCGATAAGGGTGGTGCTGTTGTAGTCTGGTGTACTGACCTCTACCTTGCAGAGGCTGAGCGCCAACTCTCTGATACCTCCTCCTACCTTCCCCTGGACCATGGCGCATCAGGCCATTGTATCTATTACGGTAACTGATCTCATTTCATCTGGTGATCTCCCCCCCTCTGCTTCCAAGCTGGTAGTCCCCCAACCCTGCACAGCTCGCTTCTACCTCCTCCTGGTTCTGAGGAACCTGCTGAGCTTTTCCAGCAACTTTGTTTTTGTGAGCAACAATCTTCCTTTCCAACATGAAATGAACAAGTCGAAGATTGAAACTGTCATAGGCCTATCACTTAAAATCTAAAGCAAATCTCCATTCATCAGTTCTTCATTTACAGGCCTACTTGTTACTGATTCTGAGCTACATATATTGTAACATATGTATAAATGGCAACAGAACCTTCCTTTTAAATTCAAACTTTATCACGATCAAGAGGGGACTGGGAAAATAAATGGCATCTGTCCACCCTCCAAACTGTGTTGTCACAACGACCTGATAGTAACTAGGAAGGACACCACAGGAAGAATCTAAAATCAAAGTTAGCCATCCTTTGGTGTGACGAGGTTTACTTTTGGGGAGGATACATCAGCTTGAAGCATAAAGAAATGGATGTTCACGTTTTGAGATAGCTGTGGAGGGTGTTCAAATCCATGAACTATTTTAAGCATACACTACTTGTGCAAAGGCTGCAAAAGGCTTTTTTTTTTGCAGATAAATAGACATGGAGGTGTGAAGAATTAAGTAGCATTTAAGCACCACAGTCAACGTTTTAAAGGTAATATATTTGGAGTCAGTGTTGGCCATTCATCTTTTCAAATGAGCTCTGTTATTCATTAAGATCATGCTGACCAACTACCCCAACTCCACCCTGCCACATTATCCATACATCCCTTAATTCCCTTAGTACACAAAAATCAATTAGATCGAGTATTTGAGTATTCTGAGCAATTGAACACCTACAGCTGCTTGGGGTAAAGAATCCCAGAGATTATTAATCTTGCGAATTAAGACTATTTCTCGTCTCAGATTTAAATGACTAACCCGTCATTCTGATATTGTAGCGCTCAGTTGTAGACTCACCAGCCAGAGAAAACATCCCCCTATCATCAAGCCGGTCTAAGCCTTTTACAATTCTATGTTTGAATACAATCGCCCCTCCAACAACTTTTGAGGAATATTGGCCCAATCAATTAAATGTCTTCTCAAGGGACAACTGTCTCATTCCAAGCAGCTGTCTCGTGAATCTTGGTTGCACTCTTTCTAAAGCATATATATTCCTGAAGAGGTAACAAGTCAAAACCTCAAGTTATTTTAAACAACAAGTTTGGGGGAGTCAAAACCTCGGTGCAATGCTGCAAGGGTGGTCTCACCAATGCTAATGAGATCCCAAACTAATGAAGCATGAAAATTGACACTGAAATTCTCTTGGTAACAGGTTTATTCACAGAATGCAGCAATACGTATGTCTGCTTCTTATCGCCTAAAGCTAGCTCTGAGCAGTCTCTATGCATGACAGCACTAAGTATTTAAACAATGCACTTTATCTGTATTTCAGCAATATAATTGACATTAACAACCAAAACCGCTTTTATTTGCTGTAGGGTGTCATTACATTTACATTCTAATCTCTGTTATGGAAGTGACATATAATTTGCCATATTAATCATTTCTGCAGTTGCATGTTACCTCTCAGCTATTCATGGACCCTGGGCCCTCTGAACACCACGACTTCCCAGTTTTTCACCATATTAAAATATTTTGCTTTTCTATTTTTCCTACTAAATTGCAGCATTTCACACTTCCCTCTTTTATATTCCATTACTATGATCTTGCCCATTATCATAACCTTTCCACACTCCTTGCATCATCTGTGTCCTCCTCATAGCTCGCTTTCCCCAAACATTTTATCCTGAGAAATGTTTTGATATATTATAACCAATGCGCTCATTTGACAATTGATATTGATTGCAAATATCTGAATCCTCAATATTAATTCTCAGAATTCTTACCCTTTAATTGTACCCTGCCATCTGTTTCCTGAACCAATTCTCAACTCATGCTTTTATACAGCCACCAATACTATGAAATCAAATTTTGTCTAATAGGCTATTAGGTAATACCTCATTGAAAAATACTTCAAAACCCAGATAGATTACATCCACCAGTTCCCCTTATCAGCCCTGCTAACTTAATCTTCAAGAATTTTTAATCAATTAAAGAATTTGTAATCAATGTTGAATTTCCCCAATCATATTAAGATTATCTAAATTATCTGTTACCACATCCCTAATAATAGATTCCAGCAGTTTTCCTGCAACTGATCTCGAACTGCCTATTATACCGCATTTTCTGGTCCCTCATCACTTGAATTCTTGGTACATTTCCAATATCTTCAAATTACTGTTTACTGGTAGAAGGGAGGTCATATACAAACTTCAGAGGGAAGTCTCCCATCCTCTCTTGGTTGATGGAATCAAACCACTCATTCTGAGACACCAGAAAGTGATTCATCCAGTCTCCAACAACTCCTAAAAGATAAATAATCCCACACTTAAACATGAACTACAACTACAGTATACTTATCACATCAATATATTATTAGCAACAGATTAGCAATCCCTGATATAGAAACAATACGCATAGTATGCATAATGAATTTAGTCACAGCTTCTGTGATTCCATATTCCAACAGTGGAATCGTGTTCATTGGAAGTGGAAATTGGGAATGAACAGACAATTATAGTAAATGTAAGGAGGTGATGGCCTACTGGTATTATTAAGCCAGAAACCCAGGTAATGTTCTGGGAACGTGGGTTTGAATCCTGCCACAGCAGTTAATGGAATTTGAATTCACTAAAATCTGGAATTCAGAGTCTACTGATGACCACAAATAGGTTGTTGGAAAAACCCATCTCGTTCACTAATGTCCTTTAACAAAGGAAACTGCCATCCTTACCAGGTCTGGCCTACATGTGACTCCAGGCTCACAGCAATGTTGTTGACTCTTAATTGTCCTCTTGGCAATTAGGGTTGGGCAATAAATGCTGGCCTAACCAGTGGTACCCTCATGCTGTGACTAAATAAAAAAAAGTAAATCTATCTGAACAATGTCCCTTTTATGTAACTGTACCATAAGGTACACTGGACAAGAAGGACAAGAGCAGAAGATAAAGGCAAACATGAAACCTGCACATTCTCCTGCAAACCACACACTATCCTAATATGGAACTATATCAGTGTTCCTTCACTTGGTCAAAATCCTGGAATTTCCTTCCTAACGTGACTGTGGGACTATTTATATCATATAATAAATCACCATCTTCTCAAGTGCAGTTACAGATTCCCAGTAAATAATGGGCTATGAAGGGAAGGCGTTGGCATAATGGTAATGTCATTGGATGGATGATCCAGAACCCTAGTTAATGGTCTGAGGATTTGGGTCCAAATCCCTCAAGTGCAACTAGTGGAATTTCAATCTAGTTAATAAATTTGGAATGTAAAACTCGACTTTGTAATGGATGACATGACAACTATCATTCATAATTGTAAAAACATATTCGGTGAAGAAACTCTGCCATCCTTACTCAGTATGACCTTCATGTGACTCCATGTCCACAGTAATGCGAATGACTCTTAACTGCCTTCTGAAATAGCCTTATAAGCTACTCAGATCAGGCTCAATTAGTGGATGGGTAGTAAATGCTGGCCATACTTTTGATGGCCACGATTCCAATAAAAAAAACTGGGAAAAAGAATTTCTGCCAAGTCTACATCCCGTTAAATAACTAATAAAATAAATAAGGTATTGTTTCCAAAGTGTATTGAAAATGCCAAAGGATTAGCATAAATAATATTATTGATAACTACTAATCAAAACTCTTTACAGAAAAACATCATTTCCTTCAACAAACTGCTCCAGAAAGCTTGAAAAATCCTTTGGTGTCGAGAAGTATTTATAGAAATGGTTGAATTGGTGTAATGACATAGCCACATCCTTGGGATTTCTGACAGCATAAACGATCTGGGTTTGGAAACAAAAACAACAGAAAATGCACTTGCAGACTTTTTTATATCTGTTCATAATTTACTTAAATCTGATTTTCTAAATGTTTCCCCAAAATTGGTTCATACCAGTTGTTGTCTTTTCATAGTTCTCTCTTTTTTTAGTTTCTGGACTGATTGATCTGTCATTTACAGAATTTATAACTAACTATCTCTTTTCTCGTAGAATTGACATCTTTTACCAAGATTGCAGTCTGGCTTTTGAAAGTTAAAAAAAACAAACTGAGCTTATTTCCAAGATCACAAGGTAATTACGGATTTGGACAGATATTTCATTCACCCAGATCCAATAGAACCCAACTGATTCCAGTTATAGAGTCATAGAGATATACAGCACGGAAACAGGCTCTTCAGTCCAACTCGTCTGCACCGACCAGATATCCTAAACTGATCTGGTCCCATTTGCCAGCATTTGGCCTAAATCCCTCTAAACCCATCCTATTCAGGTATCAATCCAGATGTGTTTTAAACGTTGTAATTGTACCAGCCTCTACCACTTCCTCTGGCAGCTCATTCCATACACACATCACCCTCTGTGTGAATAAGTTGCCCCTCACCTCCCATTTAAATCTTTCCCCTCTTGTGGTTTGCTATTTTGTATCATCGTATGAAAACCATTTCCTAAATTCATCATTTATTAATTTAATCCTTTGACTGTTTAATCCATTCTCAATGTAATGTAGGATTCAGGAATTCTTGTCTTCATTTACTTGGTTATATTATTCACCTATGAGCATCCATTATGCTGAGAACATCATGGAGCACACTTTTAATGATTGGGTCACATCACCAATAAGGGTTATACAGACAGAGAAGAGTTGGGTGACCTTCAGGAAAGCAAGTTACGGTCAGCAGGAGTTCCCTATAGCCATTCCCCTCTAAAGAGGTTTACTGTTTTGGACACTGTTGGGGGACGGCCTCTATGGAAAGATCAGTAGTACCACAACTTATACAGTTGTACAGCAGGGAGAGCCAAAGTGCCAGTGAGAGTACTGTTAGGGATTGAGGAAAATGCCAAGCAGACTGTATAGTCAGGGGTACAGATAAGCGTTCAATGGCTGCAGGCAAATCTCCAGGATGGTGTGTTGCCTCCCTGGTGTCAGGGTCAAGGATCTCTCTAAGCAGGCATAGGATATCCTGAAGGAGGAGGGTGAGCTGCTGGAGGTAGCCCATATTGGTACCATCAACAGAGGCAGAAAGAGAGAGATGAGGTCCTGCAAAGAGAGTTTAGGGAGTTAGGTAGTAAGTTGAAAAGCAGGACCTCTAAGTTTACTTCCTGTGCCACAAGCCAGTGAGGCTATGAGCAGGAAGATAGTAAAGTTAAATATGTGGCTAATGAGTTGGTGCAGGAGGGAGGGCTTCAGTGATGTGAATCATTGGGATGTATTCCGGGGCAGGTGGGACTTATTCAAGAAGGTCAGGCTGCACCTAAACTGGAGGGGCACCAATATCCTAGCAGGGAGGTTTGCCTGTGCCATGCAGCAGGTCTTAAACTAGTGTGGCAGAGGGGTGGGAACCAGTGTAGTAGGTCAGCAATTAAAATGACCAAGGAGGAGTCAGAGACAATTTCAGTAAGTAATGAGAAGTGTATGACAGGTAAAGCGGATGAATTTATAGCTTGGATTAACACACATAACTATAATATTGTGGCTATTGCAGAGATTTGGTCGAGGAACAAATCTGACAGCTTAATGTTTTGGGATTTACATGTTTCATGTGTAAAAGTGAGGGATATAAAATAGGTGGAGGAACTGCATTACTGACAAGGGAGAATATCACAGCTGTGCTGAGAGAGGACACCATCCATCGAGCCCAGACAGGTAGACTCAGGAATAGGAAGGGTGTAATCACTTGGTTAGGATTGTACTATAGATCTCCCAACAGCTAGCAGATAATAGAGGAACAAATATGTGGACACATTGTAGGAAAATCTAAAAATGACAGCGTTGTTATGGTGGGTGATTTTAACATCCCCTATATTGACTGGGTCTTGCACGGTGACGGGGCTTGGATGGGGGAAAAATTCTTAGGTGTGTCCAGCATGGTGTTTTGAAACAATATGTAAATAGTCCAACTAGGGGAAGGGCCATACTAGGCCTGGTATTGGGGAATGAGCTCGGTCATTCAGGTAATTGAATTTTCAAAGGGGGAACGTTTTGGGAACAGTGACCATAATTCTGTAAAGTTTTAAATTACTTATGGATAAGGATAAGAGAGTCCTTGGATGAAAGTACTAAATTGAGGGAAGGCTAACTACCACAATATTAGGCAGGAACTGGGGAATGCAGATTGAGGAGGGCTGTTTGAGGGTAAATCCGCATTTGGTATGTGGGCACCTTTTAAAGGCCTTTTGGTTAGAATTCATGACCAGCACGTTCCTGTGAAAATGAAGGATGAGGGTGGCAAGATTCAGGAATCTTGGATGACAAGACATATTGAGAGCTCAGTCAAAAATGAAAAGGAGGCATATGTAAGATTTGGGAAACTGAAGACAGTCAGAGCCCTCGAAGAATACAAAGATAGCAGAAAATAACTCAACCAAGGAATCAGGAGGGCTAAACAGGATTAAGGAAAATCCCAAGACGTTTTACATAAATGTAAGGAGCAGGAGGGTAGCTAGGGAAAGGGTAGGTCTACTCAAGGATAAAGGAGGGAATTTATGCGTGGAGCCGGAAGTATTGGGCGAAGTCCCGAATGAATGCTTTGCATTGGTATTCATAAAGGAGAAGGACATGGTAGATGGTGAGTCTCGGGAGGGGTATGCTAATATTCTGGGGCATGTCAAAATAAAAAAGGTAGCGGTGCTGGGTGTTTTAGAAAGTATTCGGGTAGACAAGTTCACAGGGCCTGATAGGATCTATCCCAGAATGCTGAGGGAGGCAGGGGAGGAATTTGTTTGTACAAAACATTTCTGTCCTCTTTAGACACAGGAGAGGTCCTAAAGAACTGGACAACAGCTAACATTGTTCCTTTGTTAAAGAAGGGCAACAAGGGTAATGCCGGAAATTACAATCCAGTGGGCCTTACGTCAGTAGTTGGCAAATTTTTGGGGAATATTCTTAGGAATAGGATTTACTCACGTTTGGAAAAATATTGACTTCTGAGCAATAGGCATCATGGCTTTGTGTAGGGAAGCTCCTGTCTCACAAACGTGATTTTTTTTTGAGGAAGTGACAAAGATGATTGGTGAGAGCAGGACAGTAGATGTTTTCTGTATGGAGTTTAGAAAGGCCTTTGACAAGGTCCCTCATGGCAGGCTGATACAAAAGGTGAAGTCACATGGTATCATGGTGAGCCTTTAGACCCACACACAGACACTTGTCATGAGGATTGAATGGTTCCATCATCTGTGTTAGTATCTCGGATTTTTGGACTGAAATGTTTTTAAAAAGGAACCAAAAACACTGAC